CATTGCAAAGAGCTTTGAATGGCAAGCTAAGGCATTTGGTTTGGATTCAGTAAAGGGAAGACATTCCCTGGGGGGAGTGATGTTTGGCAGCAATTTAGAGGATTTGGGTTGGGGTGATGGAGCAAACATCCTGACGTCGGGCTTTCCTCCTCATCCCAGCAGCCTCTGTGGAAATGAGAAGAAGGAAAAGAGGACAGAGACGGGGACAGAAGAGGCTATTTTAGTGGCTGCATTCTGGCACCACTGTCACTGTCGCTTTAAATATTTTATAGACCTGAGAATGTTCCTATTCAGAGTAGCCCCTGCATTCTGCTCCAGCACTGGCAATGACTACAGGGGGGTATACCAGCATACATGCACCCACCAGCACCTTCACTCTGAGTACATATGAGCCAGATGGCTCCTCTAAATGTGTGGACCCGCCACCTTCTCCCGAAAGGATGGGCTGCACCCCAGAAAGCACCTAGAAGAGAAACTGTCAGACCATGAGTCCCAAACTACAGAACCAAAGACAGGCTCCTCATGAGCCCCTCCTCCCATCCTCACTACACACACACACACACACACACACACACACACACACACACACACACACACACACACACTCATGCCAATTCGAGCCCGCTCACAGATAAAGGACCCAAACATCCATACCCATGTCCTGATCTGCACAAACAGATTCACTCCCAGAGATGAACCAAATAAAGATGCCACCCTACCCCAGGAACATGCCCCTGAGATGCAGAAGGACCAAAAGGCTAGAAAAGGTGAATGTATCGCTCCCAGAAGCTGCAGAAAATTCCAAGCTCTAGCAGCTTTGAAAAGAACTTCTTGATTCAAGGGGGTGAGATAAGCCCAGGTCACGAGGTAGATGGGACAGGATGATGAAGGAGCTCTCTGGGAGTCCACAAGGTGGCATCCCTATTGGTCAGGACACATCCTTCTGCCAGAACACTTGGGTGGGGAGGAACAGAGCAGAGGACAGACTTGAGTTGCTTCTGATTGCCAGCCAGAGCATAGAAACAAAGCAATGGAAATAGGGGGTGGAGTAGAGCAATGGGTAAGTCTGAGCACACACGAGCACGGTGGTCAGTTAGATACTTGGAGCCCAGTCCATAACCCTCCTGGGTTTTTCTCCTTGAGTAACCCAGAACTCACTCCTTCCCTGGATCAAGAAACCACTTCCCATCTACCAATTCATTATTTACTTCCAGGCTTTCCCTTCAATTCAGTGGGGATGAGGGGGGAAGGAGAAAGCCATTGATTGTCCCCTACTCAGCTGCCAGTCACAGCAGCCAACATTTGGAAGCATATTTCTTTAATTGCTTGCTTCTGTTTCCATGTTATTTCTAGTTAAAAAAAAAATTTAAAAACACAATAGCAAACTGCCGTTCATCATGAGCTTGTCAATCTATAAGCATATTGGTCAGAACTGAGAGAGAAAAAATTCTAATTGAAGAAAGGATTTTTTTTTCCTCTCCACAACAGCTGGGTAAGGGTAGAACCAATGAGAAGAGGTTCGTTTGTTATTTTAAATAATTTTGCAAAGTGCATATGCATACATATTTGATTCGGTCAAATTGATCTATACTTTGAACTCAGTGTTAGAAAAGCTAGTAAAGAGAAGTCTGGTGGGAGAGAAGAGTTGGTGTAGGTTTTACCTGAGGGTGACATTTGGTGCAGAGCACTGAGGCCCTTCTGTTCTTTCTGATTTTCCTTCTGGAGCTGGAAGATTTCTGCACACACATGAAGCCTAAGCAGGGTCCTCCCCACTCCTTACTGATAGGCCCCTAACAACACCCCCATTACAAAAGCAAACATGGAGGAAAATTCAAAAACACAATGGTTCTGAGGCAGCTGAAAGCCCAAGTTTGGACTCAGTTTCACTCACAACACACAAGTACATGGGCTCCATTTCCCACCCTCAACACACATACAATATATACCAACATATACACACACACAGCAGTGACAGCTAAGTATCACAGAAAACAATGAATGTAGAGTCAGGAGATAGAAACTCAAGGCCACTTTCTGCCACCTGTGTGACCCTGGGCAAGTCACTCTCCTGCTTTGTAAAATGATAGGGTTGAACTAATTGATCTCTCAAGATCCCTTCCTAAATCCTGTGATCCCACAGGCACAAAAACTCAGTCTTCTCTTGTGTAACTTACAGTTACACATTTCTTCAATGCCTCCACAGCACATAGTTACACGTGCACACACATGCTCATACACACATCTTCACTCCTCCCCAGTTTCACTTCATATTGTCTCCCTCCCTCCTACGCTCCTTTTCCCTCATCCATATCTGGACACCCCACCTCACAAAGTGCCGTTAGGAGCACCCCCAGCTCAGCTCTCCCTATTTCCACCCCTGCACCTGCTGTTCCCAGAATTCCCACTGCATCCTCCCATGCAATATCAAACCTTGAATATACTGGGGGTGTTATCCTTTCTTTCTGTCATTTGGTCTTCAGGACTTTGTGAAAACCTAGGGCTTTAGAAACAACAGAGAAGATGAGGCCCTACGAAGAACTTCCAGGCTAGTTTAGACATCACAAAGAAAAAGTAGTGAAAGATCAAGAGACACTAGGTTCCCCTTCCTATGACACCCCAGACCAAGGGTTCTTAACTTTTTGTGTGTACAAAAAAGGTAGTGAAGTCTAAAGGACCTACCTCAGAATAATGTTTTTAAATGCATAAAATAAAATACACAGGATTACAAAGGAAACCAAAGGTCAGTGGGGGAGTGGGGGGAGAGAAGAGATGTAATTTTTTTTTCCCATTCAAGGGATAGATCCCCTAAGATAGGTCCATGGACTCTCAACCCCAGGTTAAGAACCCCTATTGAAGAGTCTACCCTCCCAACCCATCACCACCAGTTGCAATTATCCAACCCAGAGATAGGAAATGGGGATCAGAGATGAGGACTTAACAGCTGGGTGACATTGGACAAGCTATGTCACATATCTGAATCACCTTTCCTCATCTACAAAATGAGCAGATTGAACAAGATAATTTTAAGGTGACTTCTGACTCTCACACTCTGTGATTCTGTGACTAAGCAGGTTATAAGTAGGATGTCTCTGAACACACACACACACACACACACACACACACACACACACACAGAGTCCTAAGTAGTGAGTCCTATCTGGGGTGGGAGTGGGAAAAGGAACAGAGCCAGGAGGACATACATCAAGGCAAGTCCCCTGGGAAGTCAGGAGCCAGTCTTTCTCCACCCACCCTAAATGTTCTGCCTACCTAAGGTCTCCCCTGAATCCCTCCTGCTGTAATGGACAGCTGGCATGCTAAAACAGTTCACAGTTATGATGGTGGGAGAAAGAAGGAGGGTAGGGATGGGGGGAGGAGGCAGATGGGGGATGGGTCCAAAGTTCTGGTCATGCCCAGTTAGTGAAGTGCAGCCAGCTGTTCCCCCAGGCTGGGTGAGCTCAGCAGGACCCGCGGAAGGGAAGAGAACTAGGGTGTCTTCAGTGGAAACTTGGGCTGCAGAAAAGTCCTGTGAGCCTGTGCCTTGAGTTCATGAGGTCAAAATGAAGTGCCAATAATATAAAAATGAGAGTCAGTTCCTAGGGACTCAACAGTCCTGCTGGGATTCTCTGCCCTAACCCCAGCGCCCACAATGTCCCAAAGAAAACTGAGCCCCTAGAGGTATGTGTAAAGAGATATGGCCTGGGAAGGTTGGAGGGAGAGCAGAGTTTATTTTGGGAGGTGGGTGTGAAAGAGGATTCAGAGCAAGGGAGGTGGAGACGGCTCAGGAGGGGTGCAGAATAACCCCACACAAAAGAGAATTGCTCCCCAAAGCCTCGAGAGAGTGACTGACTTGTGAGCTTCAATTTGCATATATTCCACATTTCATTTCCATTTTGGCCTATTAAAGTCCAATTAACAGAAATCTCCACTGCCCCCAGGCCTCTGTCCTTGGTGCCAGGGGCCTGTCCCACCTTCCAGATAACAATAAGGAAAAGTACTTATAATAGCTTTGTGAGGCAGGCTCCTCCCTAGATTCCACTCATCTTCCTTCTTCTAGGAACGAGATTCCCCTATATTCCTCACTCTCTTGTACTGCTAGATTACCACCCTTCTCCTCTCTAACTAAAAAGTTCTTCCGGAGAGTCTAAGGGCCATTCCTCATGCTATAGGACTCGCTTTACGTTACCCTTTATTCTGTTCCTAGTGTTACTAAGGACCAATCTCATCATAAGAAGATCCAAGTTGGACCGATATACCCTCCCCCTCTCCCCAGTTCGGCCTTTCACCCACTTTCCAAGGCCCATAATTCAATAAAGGAAAAGAATCCATCCATTTCACAACACCCCATCCACCCCCACACACACACACACACACACACACACACACACACACACACACACACCCTCTTCCTCCTCCGGGCTAAATTGCTGAATCCCATATGGCTGTATCTCCTAGCCTTCCTTCTCCAATCCCAGCACAAAGCATGAGCACTTTATAGGGGTGACTACAGGATTACCAGACCCTTCTGAGGTCATCCCATCCATCTTTCTGCTTTAGAGCAGGATTTGGAAAATCTCAGGAGACTACACACAAAGCCCCCTCCCCTTTATGGAAAGTCCTTACCAATGTCTAACCTCAGTCCTTCCTGCTACAAATCGAATCCCCCTTTTGTCTTGCATCTTCATAGAATAATAACCCTAAAGAATATTTACTAAACCATCCATTGGTTCCTGCCCCTTCTCCCTGCCCCCGCCCCCAGACCCAGCTGTGTCCCCTTAAAAACCTGCCCAACCTGGATAAATACTAGGGTTTGGGCTCCGCCCGACTGGACTCAGAGGATTCCTGGGCCCCCGCCCAAGCTTTTGCCATCTACCTTCTTCCCACTACTTGGTGAAAGGCCACGCCCCCAGCCCGTGGCACCCTGGCGGTGACCCCCGCTGGCGCGGACTCGACAGGGTTAAGGTTTTGGGGCGGGTGGGGGTTCTGGGAGGAAGGGGTACGGAGCCAATCGGCTGCGGCTGAATCCCGGGGAGTGAGGATCCGAGAGCGGAGCCGGAGCAGCGAGCGGGCAAGCGGCTGGGGCAGCGACCAGGGGCAGGAGCAGTGAACGGGAGGCAGCTGGCTAGTCCCTCGTGCGCTCCGGGAGCCGCCCCATTCCCCACCTCCACTGTAGCACCAGGCTTCTTCGGCCAGAAGGACTCAGGCGTCCCCGGCACCCCAACCATGGAGCAAGACAACAGTCCCCGGAAGATCCAGTTCACTGTCCCGCTGCTGGAGCCGCACCTGGACCCGGAGGCGGCGGAGCAGGTGGGGCGCATGGAGGCTTTGTTGGGCCGAGAAACCGGGGGCGGAGTAGCATCCCCGGGGTGGGGGAGGCAGTGGCTAGACTCGGCTGGACAGAGCTAAGAATAGGAAGACTTCTGCTCTTTCGGGAAGTCGGGGAGCAAGAGGATCCATCGTTCTGAGGGGGCGCCCCTCTTGCCCCCGTGATTGCTGTTGTACCCCTATGTTGAAGGGGAATGATGGAAAAGAATTCCTGTTTAACAATTGGATGACCCCCCCCATCTGCCCCATACTCAGAGCCACAAACCCATTTGGACCTTTATGAGACAGACGGACAGACGCTCCCACTCTCCTTCTCACTACTCCCCCCCTCCAGCCACTTCAGAGACACGGCACAGACTAGCTCCCTCCCCAGCCTTATTGGGGGAGGTGGGGGATGGGAGGAAAGATGCTGGTTCTGTCCCTACAACCCCTTTCCCTTCATTTTGCATGCACCTCCTCCCCACCCCGCCTCGGTTTTTAAAGGAATTGGGGGGGGGAGACTAAGGATCTCCCACAGTTTCTCAGAAAGTGTTGGGGGCCAGGAGGGAATTAAGTTGATGAGAGCCCAAAATAACAGGGAGGGAGTGTTGGAGGGAAAGGGGGGAGGGGAAAATGTAACCCCAGCTTTTTGTCCTGGAGGTAAAGAATGAAAGGAAGGAGAGTTGGGGGGTGGGGCGCAAAGACTTGGAGTAGGGAGGGAGCTGAGCAGGTAACAGAATGCTTCTCCCTGCTCTGAGGAGAGGTCTTCTGAAGCTCCCCTCTCCTAGGGTGGGGCAAAGAACACCTGGACCCTCTTCCCAACAGGATGGGCCCTGATGGGCACTGGGTGGGGAGGGGCAGGACCTTGGGGAGGGGGCGCAAGGATCTGAGTTAAACAATATGCAGATGAGAAGGATGCTACATGCAAATGATACCTGGTTCTCTGGGATCTCCCCCCTCCTCTGGACCTGGCCAAAGGAGTAGGTGACATAGACAGGCCTTGGGCTGCCTGACCTGAGCTATTTTTAGCTCAGAGCAGTCTAACAGAGAGAAGGGAGGGGAGGTAGAGTGGACACAGAGGCTAAAGGGTGAAGGCTGGAGCCACTGTGTTGGCAAAGGGTTTCTGGGCAGTACTACAGCTCCACCCCCACCCCCCCCACCCACCCCACCCCCACACACAGGCACCACCAAATCACCAAAGCTTATTTGCATAGTTTTGTAAGTCATTTACCCTCTCCCTAAGACTCTCAGAATTGCCCTCAGTCAACCCCAAATCCATTCAGTCTAAATTCTGGTTTCTGATACATACATTATCCCCCTTCTCTGTGTTAGGACTAGAGTTCTCTCTACCTGGAAAAACTCCCAGCTGTCCTTTCTGGGATCCTGAAGGGAGGATGTTTTTTCTGCTCCAGCTATTTGGCAAAACAGAACCCAGATGTGAAGGGAGAAGTATTTCTCTCTCCCACTCTCCTTCCCTCCCCCCCCACTTCTCTTTAGATCTCCAAAGCAGGGATTCCCCAGGTGCCCACTAGAATAGTGGGGAGGTCAGATGAGAAGGACAGATGCCTCCTCTAGGCCAGATCTTTTCTGCCCTCCTCCCCACCTCCTCTGAGAGGTGAACAGAACCCTGTCTTACAGGGAAGGCCAGATATCCGAGTCTCAGATAGTCTCTCTACCAGCCATAAAATAAGCCATGGCAGCTGCAAAGTGTGTGGTTAGGCCTCAGGAAGATCTCCCTGAGTGTGGGGATGGGGCTGGAGGGGAATGACGGGAGACCTCTATCCCTAATGAGGAAAGAACATCCTCCACCCATTTCCTTGTCTGCTACTTCCCAAAAGATAGGAGGATAGAGAAGATGACCTCTGGCTCCGAACGAGGGGACTGATGATAAGAGGCCACGTGTGTTGGGGGTGGAGATCCAGGCAGAACTAACGTGATCTGCCTCCAGCTGGTCTCTTCATCCCACTGTCATGGGTTTATTCTTTGTTTGTGGTTGGGGGAGGCAGGTGTGTGTGGTTGGAGAGAGGAAGAGAAGGAGAGGAGAAGAAGGGACTTACAGAGGTACAAACAGCAGCCAGGTCAAGAGTCCTTGCCAGTGGAGATGAAAATTAAGGGGAGCCAGCCAAGAGACATAAGTGCTTTCTCTCCAGTCTTCAGCAAACCTGTGTCTTCTTAGTCTAAAATTCTGCCTCTGGTCTAGCCTCATTCTCTCCTGCTGGGTTATAAAGAACCTATGGCTTTGGAAGAATAGCTGGCTAAGCTGGGGGGGAGAGTCTAGGAGGGCAATAATGATGATAATTATAACACATTTAACCTTTTGTGGTTTACAAAACTTTTTCCTCACTACAACCCTACAAAAATAAGTAGTGTGAATGTAATTATCCCTATTTTCTAGATTTTGAGGCCCAGAGAGATCAAATCGTCAATTCAAAGTTTATTACCTTCATTTTACAGGTAACAAAACTGAGTGCAAAAGACTTGTCCAAGGTCATACAACCTACTGCTTCTGACTCCAAATTCAGCCCCCTTTCTTTCCATGACACCAAAGTGACCGGCTCATTGCCACACAGACACTAAGTGTCAGGGCAAGAGATTTAAGCTTGTCTCCTGGCTACAAATCCAGGAGAAAGACTCAGGAATTTGGTGGGCTCTGTCCAATGAGGCAAGAGGTAGGAAGAAGACCAAAGTCATCACATGGTCTGTCAACCATCTGCAAACTAGTCTGGGCATAAATCCAGACTTGGAAGTTTCTGGGAGATTTGAGGAAGCTTTGGAAGTCTGTGGAATAGCTCCGGTTAATGGGAAGCCCTTGCCGAAGTGGCCTGCTATGTGCCAAACACTCAGTTGGGTACTAGGGAGACATAGGTATGACAGTCTCTGTTTGCAAAGAACTTCGGAAATAGGAGGAATGTAATGAAAAATAAACGAGAGATCCAGACAATACATAAGAAGATCTCTAGAAGTTAAGAATGTAATTTTAGGTGGGGAAACTGATAAGTGGAGAGATTGAGAGGCCACAAGGAGGAAGACAGCCCCTAAGTTGGACCTTGAAGGAAGAGAGGGACTGGAAAGAAATGGGAGCTAGGGGTGGGGGGGTAGGGATGGGGCAGAATTGATTCATGGCATGAGCTAAGGAGCAGGATAGAATGGGAGTGGACCTCAGAGCTCCAGTCCAACCTTCTCGCTTTACAAATGAGGAAACTGAGTCATGAGTAGTGAGTGGCAGAACTGGGATTTAAACTCAGTGCTCTTACTCAAAATCTAGAATTCTTTGCAATAGGCTGTTGTAAAATTAGAGGACCTGGGTTCAAACCTTGGCTCTGTCACTTACTCCCTGAGTGACCTTGGACAAGTCATTTGACCTAAGGCCTCTCTTTCTCTATCTGCAAAATTAGAGAGTTTGACAAAATGACCTCTACGATCAAACCCAACTCTAGCTCTGTGAGCCAGTGGAGAGGAAGAGGGAAAGAAAAATAAGATGGAGAAGAAGGAAAGGAAAAAAAGGAAAGTGGGGAGGGAGAAGGAAGGGAAAGAAAAGAAAGAAACAGAAAATGTGAAGAGAAGAGTGCAGAAAGGGAATGGAAGAAGTAGGGAAAAGCAAAAAGAAGGGAGAGAGGAGAAAGGAAAGAACAAAGGGAAGAGGAAATGAGAGAGGGCAGATGTAGAGGAGAAGAAAGAAGGCAGGGAAGAGAAAGAGGAGAAAAGGAGAAGAATCGTGGGCAATCTAAATTGCATTACAGCAAGAGGCTAGAAAGGGTGTGGGATTTTTAGAATACGGAGGATCTTTCTTTTTCCCCAGCCCAGGCTTGGGGGTGAGGGGAGGCCTGTGGAAAGAAGGGATGTTCATCAGATCCTAATATGCCCTTATTCCACAAAAGATTATCCATTTAGAGTTGACAAGGACCTCATAGGTCACCTAATCCAATCAGTAATTTTACAGAGAAGGCCCAAAGAGACTTAATAACTTGCCAAAGCTAGTTTTCCAACCCAAATCCTCTGCCTTCAAGGCCAATATTCTTTCTACTATCCCTCAACGGCCTCCAGGACTTAGTCATACACACAAGTGGAGGACACACGGACGTACCACTGACCACGTGGCTGTTTGTATGGCTACACACATATATCAGATTGGTGTTGTCAGAACCCTTGAAATGTCATCCATCCATCCATTAACAAGCATTTAACTACTTACTACATCCTGGGCACTGAAAAGTTATGAGGATACAAAACCAAGAGTGAAATAGTCCCTGCTCTCAGGGAGCTTACATTCTAAATAGGGAAGATGATGTATGTATGTATGTATGTATAAATAGTCATGTAACATATGCAAGATAAAATCAAAGGAATTGGGGGGGAGGAAAGGGTGATCAGAAGAGGCTTCATGTAGAATGCAGCACCTAAGCTAAGTCTTGAAGGAAACCCAAGGTTCCAAGAAGCAAGGGGAAGACAGAATACAGTGAGTGTGGAACAGTGAATTAGCCAGTATGGCTGGCAGAATCATAGAAACAAAAATCAGGATGGGTCCAGGTTGTGAAGAGTTTTAAATGCTGAATATTCAGAGAATCTGGGATGGGGGAGGGAGGGGGCACAAGGAAAGAGATAATGAGTTCTGTTTTGGACGTGTTGAGTTTGAAATGCCCATGGGACATCCATTTTGAGACATCCAAAAGGCAGTGTGTGATGCAGAATTGAAGAGAGATTAGGCTAGAACTGGGAATCATCAGTATAGAGATGGTAATTGTACCCATGGGAGCTGATGAGATCACCAAGATGGGGGGGGGGGTGGAATAGAAGAGAGCCTGGACAAAGCCTTGGGGTACACTTACAGTTAAGGGATATGACGTGGATGATGAATCAGCAAAGGAGACTGAAAAAGTTTGAGTAGAAAGTTAGGAGAATCAGGAAAAAGCAGTAAACCCAGAAAGAAGAGAATATGTGGGAGAAGAGAATGATTAAAAGTGTCATATGCTGCACAGGGGTCTAGGAGAATGAGGACTGAGAAGAGCTCATTACATATGACAATTAAGATATCACTGTAACTTGGAGCAGCCTCCGTTGAGTGATAAGGTCCCAAGCCAGATTGCATGGGGTTTGGAGCATGAGGGGAGAGGACCGTGGAGGCACCTAGTACAGATGGCTTTTCAAAGGGATTAACCTGAGAAAGAGAGAGTCATAGGATCATCGATCTAGAATCTAGGGACCTCAGAGGGCATCTGGTCTAACCCCCTTGTTTTACAAATGAGAAACTGAGACCTAGATAGATTAAGCAATACACTCAAGGTCGTACAGGAAGTGACTAGGTGGTTCTGGATCTAAATTCTCTGATTCAAAAGCCACAGTTCTTTCCATTGTCCCACACTATCTATAGGAGGATAGTTAGAAAAGACAGTGGGACCTAATGAGGATTGTCTAAGGGTAGGTGAGAGTTGAGTGTGTTTGAAGGCAGCAAGGAAAGAAGACTTAGAGGGAGAGGGAAGATTATTGAGAGAGGGAGAATGATAATAAGGTTACTCTGCTGGAGAAGGCATAGAAAATGTGGATCAAAGGCCCATCTGGGGGGTTGGCCTTGGTGAAGAGAAGAGCCACATCTTCATCATAGACTGTAGTAAAGGAAGAAATAAGAGAGATGAAGTCAAGGGGTTGTAAGATGAGATGGATAAATTGGCAGATGTGGAAGAGAAAAAAGAGTGTTCTCAGCAAAGAATGTAGGATTCAATAAAGTATGAGACAAGAGTCTCAGCTAAGGAGGGTGGAGGTAGTAAGGGAGAGAAGATGGGATTTGGTACAGTCTTTGTGGGAAGTGGAATAGAGAAGCATTTGGCAAAGAGAAAAAGGACTGTCTGGCTTCAGTGAGGGCCCAGTTGAGACATTAAATAACGTAAATTTGTGGTTCAGCTAGTCCAGGCGGTTAGTTTCAAGACTTCCATCAGCTCCATTCAGTAGCAGATGAGTAGAAGAGGAGGCACGTGGAGGGCGTAATCCAGGGTTAGAGTTTACCAGGGCACAGGACAAGGGGGTAAGGGAACTGGGAATAGACAATGGTGTGGAATTGGACGGATTCGCTAAAGGGTCTAGATGTAGAAGGGAGGAAGGTATAGCCAAGTAGAGGTGGGTACCTGGCAAAATACAGAGGGGTATAGAGACTGAAGGTCATGATGAAGATGGAGAAGAGGTTTGAAAGGAGTGAAGCATAGGGAAAGATGATATATAGCAGATTGTGATTAAAGAAGTGCAGTTCTTGATCATGAAAATGGAAGACTTAATGAATGATGGAAAGATTAAGGGTGTGTGGCCATCTTTGTGTGTAGCTGAGGTGGGATGGAGGAATAGGTCAGGAAAGATGAGCAGACTGAGTAACTGGGAGGTCTCCTTGTATATTGAAGTCTCCTTAGTATGAGGACATGAGTTGGTGAGTAGCTGTGTGACCCTGCACAAGTCGCATAAACCTGTTTGCCTTGGTTTACTCATCTGTAAAATGAGGTGGAGCAGGAAATGGCAAACCACTTCAGTTTCTCTGCCAAGAAAACTCCAAATGGGGTCACAAAGAGTCAGGCATGACTGAAAAAAGACTGAACAACAACAGCATGAATTGGTGCAGAGAAGAAGACTGTGAGCCAGGCTCAGTGGAAGAGATGTGCCCCCAGGGAGAGGAAATGTCTTATTCCCACCCCACCTATCATTCCCCATTCATCTCCTGAACTGTCCCATTATTCTTCCTCTTTTGCATTTGAAAAGTCCTGCCTAAAGTCTAATTTTAGTCCCTCCTGCTGCAGCAGAAGGGCATTTTGTGGATAGGAAAAAGAGGATTCCATATGTGCTGATAAGGATCCAAAATTATTAAGAGATTTGAAAATGCAAATCCATTTGTCATTTTGTCCCAGCACCTTGCACAGTACTCCAGGGTAGTCATTTCATCAATACTTGTTGATTGATTGGTTTCTTGACACAATCTTTGCCCTCACATCAACACTACCTCACCTCTCCAGTTGCTCTCAGAACTGGACCATCCCTTTCCAGTTCTGTCCAGCCACTTTTCTCTCGCTGTTCTACACCAATATAGTACCCAGAAAGAAAGAAATCTACATGTCCAAGGATCACTTTCAGAGTAGCCAGCCCTATTGGCAGCTTGGCAAAGGAGCAGTAGTTTGGGTGAGGTCAGAGAAGGGGCTGTTACTGGTGACTTTAGATGAATGAGAGGGTCAAGGGAAGGGCACGAGAATTCCCAGCCACACTCAGTACCCTAACCAAGGTCCTGATATGATGGAAAGAGCGCTAGACTTGGAGTTTGGAAAGACCTGGGTTGGATTCCTCAAATCTGACACTATAGGTGTGATCATGGGAAGGGCACATAACTTCCTTGGGCTTCAGTTTCCCCATCTATAAAATGGGCATAATAATACTCATCCTACCTACTCTAAAGGATTGTTTTTGAGGATCAAGTGAGGATATATGTGCAATCTAAGCACTTTACAAACCTGCAACATTATAGAAATATAAGCATTTAGTATTATTATCGTGATTTTGGATTCTGGGTCCTTTCTGCAAGCCTCATCAGGAGGTGCTGAAGGGTCATTTGAGAAAAAGGTCAGGGACCTTCCTAGAGAGAGAAGAAGGGACATGGAAAGAAAGATGATAGGAGATGCTAGTAAAAGAGTGGCCAGGAGGAGATGAAAATAGACTGAAAGGAAGCTGGGAGATGCCGGGGTTCGGGGTTGTAGTGGGGGACGGGGGGGACAGAGACTGTGATATTGGTGGGGAGGAAGTTCAGTGGCTGGGGGACACTGATGGAAGAGGGGTCTAAAGACATAATTTGGAAGAAAGAGAAAGAGGAGAGAGTTTGGGGGTACTAGGGAAGAGGGAGTGGAAGACATAAAGGATGAGAAGCAGTGACTAGGAGAACACTGGGAAGGAGCAGGATCTGGGAGATTATTCAGGAAAGAGCTACTGGTGGGAGTGGGACTGGAAAAACTGAGGGGAAAGGGAGAGGGACTGGATGAGACAGGAGGGGATGGGGACAGAGCCTAGAAAGGACCTTAATGAGCCTGGGCTGGGAGAATGAGCTGGAAAGTGGCCAGGACCGATTTGTCCTATTCTAACATGTTTGGGGTCCTGTTGGAGCTCCTCCCATATCACCCCTGAGATATGAGCATTATGGAGTGGAGAGACTCTCTAGAGATGCTGGCACACCAAGGTCCATATTTCTGCTTGGTGGGAAAAACATCCTGATCTCCCAGGTTATTTCTGGCTATCGATCCCTGGACAATAGTTAGGAGCTGATGCAGCTGCTGAGAAGGGAGTGCCCAAAAGCCAAGAAGGGAGAACTGAGGCAGTGGGTTATTCAGGAGAAGCTAAACCTGGGGTTGGGATTGGTATAGTCGTTAGCAAAAAAACATTATTGGAGGGTTAGAGAGACAAACTTAGAGGAGACCATAAAGGAAGCAATTTGGTGAGTACCGTGTTATATGAAGATGGCTCATGGGGGCACAGTTAATAATAATGATAGATGGTGTAGAGTGCCTTACCATTCATAAGAACATTTGTCTCCTTTGAGCATCACAACAAACCTGTGAAGTGGGCAGTGTAAGTATTCTTTTCCCCATTTTGTAGACTAAGAAACTGAGGGTCAGGGAGCTTGAATGACTTATCATAGGATCATGGTCTTAGAGCTGGAAGTGATTTTTGAGATCATCCAGTCAAATCCCTTCAATTTATAAAGAAGGAAACTGAAGCCTAAAGAGATGAAATGACTTGTCCAAGGTCACTGAGATAGTAAGTGGCAGAGCTGGGATTCCAACCCAGTCTTTCCATTTTGCCACACTGAGTCTCTTTGTTCTGTGTTGTATGAGGGCGGACATATGTTGTGTCTCTGGATGTGGTTCTATTGGGTGTACATTAAACGGAACCGGGCTGAATCCGTTTGTGTATTGCACTATTGGTCACTAGGACTCTGCTCTGTCTATCTGGCAAGACTTCATCTCCTCCTCTTTTGTACCCTCCCAGATCCGGAGGCGTCGCCCCACCCCTGCTACTCTTGTGCTCACCAGTGACCAGTCATCTCCAGGTAACTCAGAAGCCCCCTAGGCAGTAAGAGGGTACACCATGAAGCCTGGGTCCCACAGTGGAATAGGATATCTAAGTTCCAGGGGAAAAGTGAGAGCTAGAGGTAGGAAAATGGGGTTCTTGGGGCTCCTGAGTGAAGTGAGTTTGAACATGAAGTGCCGGGATCTCAGGAACAGAGTAAAAGCTGGGTGCAGGGGGAATAGGATGCACAGAGCAATGGGCCAAGGTCTGAATGCTTATATTCCATGGGGATGGGGGAAGATACCTAGTTACTAGGAGAGAAATAAGATTGGGGAAGGTAGCCTAGGTGCTGGTGAGTGCATTGAGAGCAGGCTGGGCTAGCAGGAAAAGTTCCTTTGCTTTCTCAGTGATGAGAGCAAGGGCTGGGAGGGGCAGAGGCACCACCTGCCTCCTCAGCCCCACCAGGAATTGGGCTGGTCAAGTGATTGCTGGTTGCCACAGCAACAGCCTACTAGGTTTCTCCAGTAACAGAGATGCTGCTGCTCCTCCCCTTCCCCCGCTTCCCCAGGAGGGAGACAATGACATCTGTGAAGGAGGGAGCCCTCCCCCTCCGTACTCCCTCTCACAGCCCCCAAAGACTTGAGAGTAAAGTGTAAAATAATGGTAAGAGAAAGGCCAGGAAGGCCAGGACTCCAAGTCACCAGGGTCTCCTTCAGGGGCCCCGTTCAGGGGAGAGAACAATGTGGGAGGACAGTGAAAGGGGAAATGTAAGACTGGAGCTTCAGGAAGCCAGGGCTCCAGCCAGGATGAGCTTGCTGTTGTCTGACCCCCCCTCCCCTCCCCACCCAAGCTGGCCTATGAACAGAGCCCCATCCTAGGCACCAGGTGGAGAGGACAGAGCAACAAGGACACGTCACTGGCCAGCGTCCACACAGCACCCAAGCTGACGGGCAAGAGTCCCAAACACAGGGACCACGACAGAAGAAATGGGAATCCCAGACTTCAGGCCTGAAGCTTAAGAGTAGTGCAGTCTGGAAAAGGTAGTCAGGGAGGGCTTCTGGGAGGAGAGTAAGGAGCAGCATTTGAAAGGAGATGAATTCAAATGCTATCAGCAGCAAACGCTGCTACTAGTGGCAAGCCCCTTGGGCGCCTTTTCTCACCCTCCCTTAGAGGCATCAAGACATGGTGGAAAGGGTGGGGTCCTGGTGGCAGGCAGGAACCCTGAGTTCTAGTCCTGGCTCCTTGACTAAGCTACTTCATGACCTTGAATGAGTCACTTCCTTTCTCTGGGCCTCAGTTTCTTTGTTTATAAAACAAGGGAGCTGGACTAAATGATTTCCAACCTCCATTCATGTTCTCAACTTCTATTTCTCTGATTCTTTCCTCCTCCCTCACTCCTTTCCCAGAGATCGATGAAGATAGGCTTCCCAATCCTCTGTTTAAGGTGAGTGGATCCTCTACATAAAACCAAACACCTTCTTCCCTCTCTACCCTGAGGGCAATGGAATGTACAGAGGCCTAGTGCTGCCCCCAAGGCACTAGAACAAGGTGGGGAGAGGGGAACAAGCCTCAGGGCCCAAGGTCCCAGCTTCATTCTGTATCCCTTACAGTCCACATTGTCCATGTCTCCAAGGCAGCGGAAGAAGGTGACCCGGACCACGCCCACGATGAAAGGTTTGGGGGACCTTCCACACCCTCCTGCTCTCTCCTCCTTCCATTTCTTTCTCTACTCCTTCCCTTGAAGTCTTTAAATCTGTTGGGCCCAAGGCAGGTGGAACTCTGTCTGAAAGTGGGGTTTCAGGGTCAGGAATGGGTGAGACCTCCTAGTTCAATGATTCCTGAGATGGGAGAGAGAAACTGCAGTATCCTTGGCCCCATCCTCTGCCTCTCCCTGGCAACACATCTTTGGGCAAGTCCTTTCTCTTCTTGGGGCCTCAATTTCCCCATCTATAAAATGAGGCTGTTGAACAACAATCTCTCTAAGACTGAATCCTATAGGACTTTATAATCCATCTGAGTCAGAAGAGAATCTCTCCTGTTCTCAAGACCTCTTCCCTGAACTTACCATTGTTTCCCTGTAAGAAAGTCTTTTCAAGTGTCTAATCCAGTCTCTCCTACTATAGTTGACATTCCATGACTTTTTTTTTTCATTTCTCTGGAAGGGAAAAAATTTCAATGGGTCCAGTATCCTACAGTTCGAGGACCCCGACAGGATGTCAGGATCACTAAGTTGTTCAGTTTGGGGGGGGGAAGCAGGGATAATGGATCTAGGGGGACCATCTGGGGAAGCATGTCCGACATACTCCTCCTTCCATGTCACTACCCCCCCATCCCTATTCTCCGAAGAGCTCCAGATGATGGTGGAACATCACCTGGAACAGCAGCAGAAGCAGCAGGGGGAAGAAACTGAGGCAGCAACAGCTGAAAGTGAAGAAACACAGGAGACCTGCCTGCCTGAGACTGAGGAAATGGATTCAAGGCTGAGCCTCACTGAAACTGCCCAGAGTATGTGAGGGATGGAGGGATGGGGAGGGATTCACACCAGGGGACATCCTGGTCCCCTAGTCCTGTGGTAGTGGGGAGAACAAAAGAGATTTCCCTTTAAAAGAGAGGGTGAGGGGAAATCTAGTCCCAAGGCTGAAACATCTCAGCAATGCAGGGAGATTTACATACATTTTCATCTCATTTACATATCATTCCTAGCAGCGCATCTCCAACTCCCAGGTTTGTCCTCTTCCTCCATTGCCCTCTCCCCTGGAAAAACTCCAGGTTAGCCCTTTGTGAGTATGCCCCACTTGATCCTGGGCTTCTCTCCAAAGCTGAGGGTAGGAGAGATGGGGAATATGGGGCAGCAGTGGCCCGATCTCCCTTAGGCCCCTCCCCAAGGCAGACCCTTCTCCCTTTCCCAGGGCTTCCAGAAACCATCCCCAAGATCCAGGAGACTGGCAGTGAGGAATCTAGCTCAGAGGCACCAGCAGTTCATATACAACCTTCAGGCTCCAGGGGGGCAGACTAGGTAATAAGGCCTGGAGCTGAGAGGCTCCCCCAACAGAAGGGTCGGTGGGGGCTGAGGAGGGCAAGGAGGGAATGACGGGTTTCAGCCTCTGAATGGGGTGTTCTAGGTGCCCACACCACCTCTGAGGGTCAAACCAAAGTAGGTGGCCTGGAGCTACAGCAGGAGGGCTTGAGGTTAGACATCAAGAAGGAATTCCTGCCTCTGGAATAGGTAAAAGAGAGAGATTTGTGGAAGCGTTGGTGGGATAGTGGAAAGAGCACTAGTGTGGGGGTGGGAAGAGCTGGGTTCAAATCCACAACCACAAACACTGATCTCGGTTCTGCACTCACTAGCTGAGTGACCTTGGGCCCATCATTTCATCTCGCTGGCCCTCAGTTTCCTCATCTTATAAAGTGAAGGGGGGTTAGACTAGGTAATACCAAATTCCTTTCCATCTTTGGGGGAGGCAGGGTTGAACCCAAAGAGAAATTCATGGCCTGGGCTGGGTTAGCAGTGGTCCTGAGGGGGGAAGGGACATGGAGAAGATGATCCACCTTCTGAGTCCCAGTGTACCCTCCACGTCCCAATGCTCTGCTCTTCCCCAAGGGGAAATACGTGAGAGGACTAAGTAGAAACAGGCTCAAGTTGTAGCAGGAAGGAGAGAAGTTAGATATTGGTCCAAAAGCGGGAAACAACCCAGGCCTGGACAAGATGAGCCCCGAAGTGTAATGTGTTGAGAAAGTTGTTCCTCGCCCCCCTGACTCACTGTCTCCCTCTCCCCACCCCACACAGGTCAGAGGGCCATGAAGCTGACCAGGAATCGAGGCTGGGGCTGGGGCCCCCGCGAATGCTGGTTCTTTTCTTCTTGTTTCTTCACATCTGGGGGAAAACTCTTGTTTCTAAAAAGTGATAAATCTGGTGTTGGGCCTTTGGTGCCTTTCTTCTTTCCCAGATAGGAGGGCCTCCAGTGTCCTTGTCTCCCTTCCCCCACCTCTTAGCAAGCCTCTTGGGACTGCAGAGACAGCCCTGGCACTCAAGCCAGAAGACAGACAGCTTTTATTTCACAAGCAGAGGGATGAGGATCACATACACAAGAGCTATCCATTTGCTTAGGGGGAACTGCTGCTGGAACTTGTCTCCCTGGCCATTTTGGAAAACAGGCTGGGCCCTATGCCTCACAGCACAGGGAGGCCAGAATGACCTTGGGAATCCCCCAGCAACGTCTTTGCAATGTCAAGGAAGGAGAAAGCCCTGCCTTGCTATAACCAAGCTGGGGCTCCCTCTGGTGGTCAAAAGTCGGCATGACGGCATTCCACGCAGGCCACCTCTTCTGTCTAAATCCAGAAAGTGTGCTGAGTATCCCAGACAGGGGGCAGGAAGGAGGCCAAGTTCCCAGATCAGTTAGCCACTGTTACCCACTTTGTGGGTTTATCAGCATCTCTTCTCCTTGCCAGCTGTCCTGGTGATTCATGATTCAGATAGAGCATGAACTAGGTTAATCACTAAGACCCTTTCTGACTCCAAGATTCTATAATTCTGTGGGGACCAGGCCAGAACTCTGAAGGTGGGTATGTGTGGCTCGGCCCATGCTCCAAAGTCAGCCATGATTTGGAGACAGGAGCCATTATTCACCGTCAGTCTTCTCCGTCCCCATTGATAACAGAGATGACCAGCATGGAAGCCAAGTCCATTAACAAAGGAAGGGGATGATCACGGGGACAGGCTCTGCAGGCTCTGAACTTAAAAACCCACCCCCACTAACAGCCCCTCCCACTCTCCAAGACATGAAAGGGACAGGACCAAAGAGATGAAAGCAGTGTCCTCACAAAAAGGAGATGAAGCTAGGCCTATGCTCTCTTTCCTAGATGCCTCCATTTGGGTGGGAAGAGAGATCAAATGATTTAGCCTGGGTTTTCCAGCTTACGAAGAAAGAGCCTTCTCTGGCAACAACCCTGTGAAGCAGGCCATGCAAGCATCAGAAATGACAAGCTCAGTGGAATGATGTCCATGATCCCTCAGGGGCAGTGAGGGGGCCAACTTGGGCTCAATGCTTCCAACTCCATTGTTCTTTCCATTACAACATGCCATGGAGACAGCCTGTGCTGTCAGACTCCTGGCCAGGAGGGTGATAGGTAACTATCAGACTTGAAGTTGGTAGGGGGTGGAGGTAATAAGTGTGTCCAGCTACTTCCTTCATCTAACCCACACTTGCCAAAGACAGATCCACAGCCTAAACCGGGATTCCTCAGGACCCTTCTCCTTCCTTCCCCGTAATCTAGGCCATCTCTTCAGTGGTCAGAATAAAGACCCAACCCCCACCCACCCCTCACCCAAATCCCTGCTCCTCTGTATCCTTACCTACCCCCATCCCCCACACCTGCACCCAGCCCCTCAAATTGAAAGATGAAGACAACATTAGACCCTGTCTCCCTCCTTTATTGGTCTCTGGATGTAGCAGTGGTCTGCAAGGAGGGGGTGGGGAGAGTCACATGCGCCTCTGTCCCCAGTCCCCAGGTAGGAGAGGGTGCTGGGGCAGGAGGGGAGGCCAGCATGTTCAAGAAACCATGGTGGATACAAGACACATGGAACACAGCCCACTGTACAGATGTGCTGAGCAGTATTTACACGGAGGGCAGGGTCACCTCAAATTTGGTTTTCCCCATGGGGGTGAGAGGAGGGGAGAAGTAGGGGGACACTTTCCCCAAACCCCACCCAGCCCCCCTGCCTATGACTACCCTGGGTTATTATCCCAAGAGGGGTAACCATTTGGAAGAGGTGAGTGGGCCCAGGGTTATAGCATAGATCTGTGATCAATAGTGGATTTTTGGATTGCACATCCCTCTTCCCATTGTACAAGTGCCAGCTCAGCCAAGCTCTGGGGCACCCTCATTCAGGGCAGCCACGCCTGGCAGGAGCCATGGGTACAGGGAACATGAAAGCATGGGCTGGTTAAAGGTGCTTGTGTCAGGATCTCGAAGCACTTTACAGACATTGGTCGGATGGAAGCTGCCCCCCACCCCAACCAGGGTGTCTGCTGTTGGGGAGAGGGGGTACGTTGGACTTGATGTAGGGGAAGTAATACAAACAGAAGTTGGGTCCCCAGCTTTTCTCATGCTGCTGAAGCCCCTGGTGTACCCAGATACAAAAGAAGCTCTCTCTCTCCCCTGGCTCCAGGATCACATTCAAAATGGGCAGAAGGAGGAGAGATACTAGGGGTGTGAGGTCAGGAGTAAAAGGAGTGGGGGTCGGGTAAAAGAGAAAGACCAGGAACAGAACAACTTGGGGCAAAGGTAGAAAGCCATCTTCTTCAGGAGCCTGATGAATGAGGGAAACTAGGAATGTCATCTCCCTTCCAGCTTTAAGAGACCCACCCACATGTCCTGCTCTGGCCCCTCCCAGGGTGGGGGGGGGAGGAAACTGGGGCCCAGACCTGCCAGCGAAGATCTGGGAGGGGGTCCCAAAGGAACCCCCAAAATGTATTGCTCAGAAACTTGGAGGCAAGAAGAGTATTGCACTGGAGGGGGCTGGCATCACTGATTTTCCCACCCCAACCCTTGGGGTGGGAGACAGTCCAGGAAGCTTCTCCCCCACAACGAGACACCTGGTTTTTTTTTGGGGGGGGGAAGGGGAGAAGTCCAGAGGAAGCAGGGTTGGACAAAGCTCCCTGGATTCTACTGCCTGAGAGGAAAGTGTACCCCATCATGGGGGATGGCAAGGGGCTTCCTAGTAGGGAGTGGCAGGCTCAAGCCCAGGCCCAAATGTCCCCTTCCCCCAACCCCACAATCTCTGACATTTGGCCTTTGGGGTCATCCATCTGCTCTCTTCATCCTCGGGTTCCCCTGCCTCAGGTCGATCTGTCATTCAAGGGAGCCAGTCCCAGTGAGTGGTGCTGATGGCGTCAACGACTTTGGGCTATGGTAAAACCTGGGATGCAAAGAGAGGTGGCTAAGGTCATCCCTTACACGCACTCCTCCAGACCTAGCCACCTCTCTTCTGGTCAGTGTGAACAAGGATCCTGTCTGGCCTGACAACTGCTGCTATCATCCCAAGATCTCACCTAGGTTGGGGGTGAGCCGAAGAGGGAAACGAGAGAGGACAAGGAGATTCTTCCTCCTTTGTTCTATTCTGTGCTCCAACTCTTTCCTCAACTTCCTCCCCAGAAGGAAGTTTTTGCTAAAATCTAAGCCCCATCCTCCATGAAAATGGGAGATTCCTTGTGGTGATGGGGAGAAAACACCAACCAGAGAATCGGGACACCTGGTGATTACAGTCCCGGCTCTGCCAATAACTTGCTCTGTGACCTTGGGCAAGTCACGCAGCTAAGTGGCCCTCTACTGGGCTTGGAATCAGCAGGACCTAGATTCAAATCTTGCCTCAGTGTCAGTTTCTTCATCTGTACAATGGAGAGAAGACCTGCTTCCCAGGGTGGTTGTGAGGACTAAAGGAGATACAGTGTAATGTGCTGTGCAGACCTTGAAGTGCTATCTAAATACTAGCTGTCATTATTATCATTAATACTCTGCTACGCTACAGCGCTCTGGGTATCTGCCAAATGATGAACTTGAATCTCTAAGATCTTTTAACTCTAGCAATCTGTGATAGTGAGAGGCAGGCAGCCTTTCCCGAGGGATTGTGAGATTCCTCAGCCCTAGCCCTGCCACCAGCCCAGCCGCCCCTACCTCTCTTTGCCTTGTGCTCACCTGAGCCTGGGCCCAGGAGGCTAATCCAGGTTCCCATTCTGATTGAGCTCCTCAGCAGGGGACGAAGGAGCCTCCTCTTCACATAGGGACAGCTCATCGATGGAAGTCTGATTGGTGATGCCTGATGGAGGGATGGATAAGACATAGACCTTCTACCTTCCCAAGTCCCAGATCATGACAACTTCATCTACCCCACCTCTAACCTACAACTCACAGGAGAGAATCCTGCCAGCATCCTAAAAACCTGCCCAGTCTTCATTCCAGGGCTAGTCTCCCTGAGGTTCAGTTTTCCTATGTGAGAATAGTGGACAATAATACTGCAAATGCCTGTCTCACAAGGCTGATTGGAAGGACACACTTTGTAAATCTTGAACGGCTATTTACATTAACTATTATTTGTAGTATTAGCATGATTACCTGGCTCTCTCTGTTAGGTCCTTCCTGAAATCTAGCTTGACTATCTCCTATTCCATTTGCAGGGCATTCCCTCTTGTTCTGCCCTCCCTCCTCCTCCTTAGAGGGGGAGAGGGGACCAGGGGACTAGGATCTCTGGAAGACAAGATCCTGCCCTGCCCCACCCCCTCAGTTTAAGGAAGGGTAGAATCAATATTTGCCCCCACTTCATTTTCTCTCCGACGGCCCTTCCCTCAACCAGGACCTAATACCTACCACTAGCAGCTCGTTCTTTCCATTTCTGTTTGTTCTCCTGAATGTATTTGGTCCAGGTGGTACGAAAGCTGACCAGGTCAGGGTTGAGGTCACCAGGTTCCCTAGAACCATCCAGAAAGGGCTGACACCACTGAGAGCCATATATGGAAAAATCTCATCCTAAATAGAAATCTCTTCCCTTTTTTCCCACCCCCAATCAGTCCCATGGATCCTGAATGACTCCCAGAGTGTTGTACCCCATGCCAATCCACTGGGAGACTACTTTCTGGCTCTCCGACACAAACATAGAACGGGCCATGAGGAAAGGGTGGAGGAGGAGAGGGGACAAAAAAAATAATAGAAGCAGGTGGAAATCAGGTATCAGAGTAATAATGAACTTGACTACTGTATCTTCCATATCTACCTGCCTTCTCTGTGGGCCTCCCTAACACCCCAAAGCTAAAGGACCTGGGCATCCCTCGAGAACTGGACATTGAAGGTTCCTCCCAGAAGCCCTCACCTGGGCTTCGTCTTTGCCTTAGAGCCCTCGTCTACCAATGGCTGGACACTCTTCTCAGCCACATCGGTCAGAACAGAGAAAGTGG